TTTTTATTGTCGTTATATTAATTACATTATTGCATTGATTCCTCTATTAGATCATACTAAACTCGTTCGGTTTGCCAAGAGATGGCGTAATTTGAATATTATTCCATTCTTCCACTGTTCTGAACATGCGTTGGAAAGTTGCTGTCATTATACAACTTTTCCAATATATGCCATTCAACAAATAAACAACAATAATTATTTTTTCACTCAAATATGTCGAACTTTCCGGGGAGTTCTTCTTCCTTACTTTAATATGAAGAAACCCTCAAGCAAAAGTCATGGTATTTTGGTGGAAGTTTATGATGAACGTGTCAAAAGTGGTGTGTACGAGTTAAATGTGGTGATTTTGGCTTGGAAGAAGAACAACGTCCTGCGCGGCCAAAAAAGCTTGAAGATGAAGAACTGAAAGCATTACTTGATCAAAATTAGAGTTTTCATTTTTTGACTACTATTTGTTTCGGTCAATAGAGAACGGCATCACTAGAATACGGTTCATTCTTGGTTGGCGCAGTTTTATTGGAAAATGTTAGAGAGTCAGATGGGCAATACTTGGTACTTGTTTCTTAAATAAACGTTAAAATTTTGAAACAAAAACCGCACGAGTAAACCTAATTTTTAATATAGATGTAGTGCAGGAGAACATAGTACTCTTTCATGGAATTATTTTATTACATCGCTTTCTCATGACTACTACATGAAGATTTTCTCTGTTATACTATAAATTCAGTTTATTTCTACGATAGCTAATTTTTTCTTCTATAGCATAAACATAAAGTTATACACAAAAACATTTTTTTTCCGTACAAGCTTTAAGCAAAAAATGACTACAACTGGGCCACTATTTTGAATGCACCATGTAAAAAGAGTGATCAACTGCAAAAAATGTTGCCTACATATAGGCTCAACTCGTGCCAATGTTAATTAAGCATTCGTTATTTCGAAACAGATGATGTTCAATTAAAATTGGCGGTTTTTGTAGCTTGTAAATGAGATATATCAAATATTAAAAATAATGTTGCCTACAGTTAGGGACAGTTAAAAAAATATAATTGCTATAAAGGCGTCAATTCCTATAAAATATTTGAAAGTATAGAATTTCACTACCCAAAATAATTTTGTAGAATAGTTTGTAATAAATATTTTAATTCAATAAAAACATTACAATTTTACATTTACATATATTTATTAAGGCAATTATCAATTCTTTAATTTCATTTAGATTGACGTGCTTTAAAAGTTCACGACCTCAAATATGTTTCTGGCTTATTTATTTTGCGTTACCTTGGCGATATAAAGTAAATACAGGAAAATAAATACAAAAGCAGCTAATGCTATGTGTGTATACATATGTATATATGCTCACTTATTTAGGCTAAGACGAATGTTAGGCATTTGATTTTTGTAAGGACGAAAATAATAGAAGTTAGCTAAATAACTATAATCCTGCCCCAAAAATAAAAATAGCGGAGCAACTTTGAGCAAACGCGAAGCAGAAACCATTTTGACAGTTTGAAATTGAATACGAGCACAACGGTATGCAGCAACAACAAACCACGTACATAACAACAGAGCCAAGTAGTTAGCCGCAACGCACACACACACACACACACATGCAACTGCCAGCGAGGCAAATCATTACGCGCTATTTGTCTGAATAAATCGCATCAATGCGGTGCTATGTTACCGTGAGTGCCCTTTGCCACATTGTTTCCTTTCGCTTTTCACTGTGTGTCTTGCGGCATGTCTTGTGCGTATTCATGAGATACACGTATTTACGAGCTCAAACAACAAATCGTGTGTCACAAACAGTTGTAACAAATATGACATTGTAATCTATTAAGTGTATGTCGGCAGACACACGCGTTTACAGCGCACGTTGAATCGAACATATGTGTTGGGGGTCGCGGTTGCTGGTGGGTTGAGTGCTGGGCTTGCGCGTGCAACAACCAAATGGATGTCGTGTTACGCCGTTAGGCGAGCTTGACTAGCTGCGGCAGCAGAAATAGTTTCACAGACGCAGTGAGCGCGCAGAGAGAGTAAGTGTCGGTGAGTGCAATACCGGCAACGGAAGCGGAAGCATAAAACGTGGACTATAAATTTAAGTGTTCCACGTCCTGCGACCTGAGTGAGTCGGTAGCGGGGAATAAAGAAAAGGCAAAGCAAAAGCAAAATGTGCGCAGCAGACGCAGTGGCAGTGGCGGCGGTGGCAACAGCGGTGACTGCTTCGTCGAGGGTGACATAAAACGCTTACAGTTGCATCAGTCTGCACCCCAGCCGAGCTGTACAGCCCCGCAATCACCTGCTACCAGCAGTAGATAACTGCGTATATCTGCTGGCGCAATAATACACACATGCGCATATGCACATATATGGCGGTGTGTGCTCGGTGCCCTTTGCCTTTGCTGGCTCATGCATGCCAGCCCATCGCAGTGAATTATGGTCTGAAAGTGAAAGTTATTACCATCCAACAACCGAGCAGGTGACCCACGATATGCGATGCACACAAAAATAAATGCAACAAGTAAGGAAGGGATAAATTCGAGTAACTGAACATTTCGTACTCTTGAAACTTGCAAGGAACAAAGGTGGAGAAACAACAGAAACAAAGTTTTATTCTGATAATTTTATAGATGTTCGATTTATATACTGTAAAGTTAAAGATTCAAAAGGAATTTAAAAAGTTGTTATATGGGAATTAGGAGTGGTTATCATCCGATTCGCTCATTTCTACAGTGCCTAATGTTTGGATAACCTCACAACCCAAATTTGGTTGAAATCGGTTGAGTAGTTCCTGCGATATAGGATTTCACCTAAAGGTGGGCGGTGCCACGCCCCTTGTCCAATGTCCACACCAGATCCTAAAAAACCCCACTGGTTGGGAAATTTAATACTTGTGGCTCATTTATTTAGTGAGTTATAGTACTTTTCAACATAACCGTTATACAGGGAGTGGGCGTGGTTAATATCCGATTTTACTCATTTTCTCAGAATTTAAAGAGGTGATAAAATCACTTCTTCTCAACAAGTTAGGTTGATATATCTGAAGCGTTTTAGAAAATATTTAAATTAGCCATTGTTAACCCACAGATGTCCCTGGCTACTGCGATCTTTTTTATCGTAATTTGCGCTTTAGTTATGGCACTTCAAAAGTTTTCATTTCATGGCGCTTTGTGTTCGTGTAAATGGTACGTTTCCGCCATGAAATGTATGTACCAAATTTCCTCAAGGTATCCATATTTGTCTATAGACAGTCAACTGGATTTCAACTCGTCTTGTCATCAAGATCATTTAAATATATATACCACTAAATCTATCCCGATTAGCTTTAGGTGATACACACACTCGTTGGGCGAACAAAACTATTATACTCTGTAGCAACATGTTGCAAGAGTATAAAAACAGACCCGTATAGAGTGAAAGCTGTAGCATTATTAAAAAGCGCGTACACGCCATGGTGCACATTTTCGACTAACATTTGTGTGTGTGTATGAGTAAGTATCTGTATTGCATTTTTTTGTAGCTAGCGAGTACATGTTGCTAGCATGAGTTTGCTTGTTTTCTTGTTAATGGGTCAATGCGACTGCAGCGTTTTTGTGGCGGCAGCAACGGGATATTACAAATTTAAACCAAAACACCACAAAAAACGGGGAAACTTCAATGGAATTAGTATGAGCATGTAATGGTTATAAAGCGAAAAAAAATGCTGTAAAAGTTGTCCGAAAATACTGAGATTCATTTCAGTGTTACATAGTTAAATTAAAACCTCAGAGAGATCTTTAAAACAGATCTTTTATGAATTTTTGTGATATTGAACGAGTAGTGTATTCTTAAATAATAATAAATACTATTTCTCTTGCTCTAATCTCTATCGTTAGAGAACAACTAACTAAGAAATAGAAATACATAGCGTTCTCGAAGAAATCGGGATATAATCCTCCACTCTAGGAAATCTTAGTTATGGTATATTTATATTAAGTTTAGAATGCTCTTCTTTGTGCTCAACATTATGCGTTATGCGAGGTTAAAAGTTTAAGCAGATGCCTATTTTTGAAGTAGGCGGGAATAAACAAAGGTACAATTGTCTCAGCACTTTCTTCTCAACAGCCTCACTTTGCGAAGCTAATGTTTTAGTAAATTGATTCTCAATTCTTTAGTCAGCCAGAAAAAGCGCTCAGGTTCTTCTGTCTATAGAAACAGATTTACTCCATCGTTAGGAAATTTCAGAGCCACATGCCCATCGGGAATCAGCCTTTAAGTAAACCTAATCTTATCTGGGTTGTTATGTTTCATTCTATCATCTTTATTTAAGGATTTTGAATGTATTTGACTTGTTATTAAAAGTTTCAATGAGATCGTACTAAAATCATGGCAACTTATTAAGGCCAAACTGAATACCTGCCTTAACGTTTAGAACTCATCTGCCTCTGCTTCCGTTTGCAGAATGGTTTTAAACGAGTTTTTCCCACTTTGAATTGCGTCTTGCCCCGACATAACTTTTGGTTTTATCACGGCCGGCGTTTTTTATTTGATTTCTACACAGAAGAGCTCTTGTTATCATATCACCATCAGCAGCCTCATTGCGTTGTTAACCAAAATCACATCTTTTTGCAGTTCATATATCATACCAAAATTCAGTCCAGCCTTTCAAAGCCATGTAAGTACGTCTTTCTGCAAATACGCGAAGTAATCCCTCAGTTTTTTAGATATGTAATGGATCTGAAATTTTCCACACGGTCTTTTCTCCCCTAGAAGCTGCTCATTTATACCAGATATCGCGCAATTATAGCATCTAGCTGCTATACAAACTGAACAATCAAAATCAAGTTAAAGATCTTTTTATACCCTTTTATGCTATAAGAAATGCACCTGTTAAGAGTATTAAAGTTTCAGTGCAGCCGAAGTTAACGTTTTTTCTTGTTCTTTTTTATATTGCTAACCATTATTATTATATAGTACTTCTATCCTCAGTAGATTATTTATTAACATATTTCTCATCTCAGGCTCCTACATACTTTCAAAGATGTGAGGTGAAGAAGTGTTTTCACAGCTGCATGAAGTCGCAATGAATACCAAAATAAATACAACAACGCAGTGTAATTAGTGCAAGCGTAAAGACCGGGGGCTGTTGAAAATGCTTGCCACTGGAAAATCCTTAATAAATTTCCGTGTAACCACCACCTCTTAAATGCACGCTAATAAGCCCAAAAAATGCGATTTCCATTGCGACGCAACGCGAATGTCCTAGACACGCTCCTCACCGAGACTCTGCAAATATTGGTGGTATTCAGCATAATGGGTTGGCCATTTAGTGGCATGCAACAGTGTGAAACCAAGGGCATGAGTGTGGAACGTGTACAACACCAACAATTGAGTAAACAGCAGCAGCTTCAACAACAACAGCAACATCTAGAATTACATTACCTGCACCACTTCCAACAACAACAACAACAAGAGAAAATGCATAAGCTAGCGCCGCACACACTCCAACAACGCACACAAACCATAGGTGGTGAACCTTCGCTAGAATTAGTATTCCGACACGACAAAATGGAATTAATGACCACAACTGTATCTCCTGCTAGATTCTCCCCTCAAACAGCATCCTCGACAATATCCTCGCCACCATCGTCATTATCCTCGTCGGTGCCATCATCATCATCATCATCATTAGACACGCATGACATGCACTACGCTACACCAATAATTACAAAAAATTATCAACACAAAAGGGCGCCCATAAGCGCTGCTGACGGCGACGCGGCGTATATGCAACCCATAACAACGACCGCATTAACGGCTAACGAAGCCACTGCTCGTGTCACTGCTACCGCTCCGATGATAAGTGTTAGCGTTGCAACTGGTGTGGGTGTTGAGCCTACGGACATGCGAATTTATCCAGTGCGAGCCTCCTCCTGGGCCCTGCACGCGCTGCATCGGGTTTCAAAGGACACGCAACATAACGGTGTTTACGCACAGCTTCCGCCTGTCAATAGTGACAGCGCCAACGGTGAGTAGCTGCTTGTTAAACACAATTTTCTTTTGATATTTGTCGAGTTTTTCGTTGTTGTTGTTGCTCTCTTTAGCTATGCCGTCAGCCGGCGGCCACCAATCACTCCCATATATTATGTTGAACTTAAAGAGAAAGTGCGGATGGACCGATGCCAGACATTTGCTTGCGTTTGAGTAGAGGCCCTAACTAACACGTGCGTCCTTAGACCTTGCATGCTTTGTTAGCGCTATCTACTTATATCCGTTTGGCCTGTAATTCTTTAGTTGAATGCCATTTTTTAAAATTATCTAATTTAGCTTTGTGAATAACATCCATAATTGCACGAAATGATGATAAAAACAAAATTGTTTTTAAAATGGTGGCATATATAAAATTTCATAAGCAAAATGTGAGCATATTTCCGAGATGCCGGGTCTTTAATTAAAATTTGGAATATTCCAAGCAGCAATCTTGTGCTTCAGTTGCCAATTAGTGATAATTGAGTACCGGAAAACTGTAGGTTGTCGATTATAGCTCTCCTTTTACCTAAAGATATTTTGAAATGAAAAGGTGAGGGAATATTAAAACGATAATGATACTGACACTGAAAATAAAGCGCTTCGAAAATATGACATACGCGGAATTTTATATGCATCTAAAACTTTTCTATTTATAATTTCGAAACGTTTGGGTTAAGTTTGACAAATAAGTTTTTCTTGTTTCCACAAATAGATAGAAATATTCGAGTAATATCAATTGTTCAGCTGGAGTGCATGGCCGTTTTTATATATATAAAAATATAAATGAAAAATGCCCTAACGAGTATTTAAGATCTCATATATATTCGTCAGTAAAACTAGTTTGTTCTTGATAACTAGTTTGTTCTTGATAATTTTTGAAGTAATATACCCAATAGAATTATAACGATCGATTTCTCATGGGTTCTCCAAGAGATCCCTTGTAACTGTCATCATGAATAAACCTTTGTCGAAGAAAGATTCTGTTGACTTTGGGTCAGTTGCAGAACTTCTTGCCTTAGTTTGCAATAAGGCTTAAGGGGCAGTCTAAACACATTTGGGAATTAAAAAATGTTTAAGGGTATATTTTAAAAGTATATTTGTACTTTTTTTTTAAATACGTAGTAAACATTTTGAAGAAAACAAAGAAAAAGAAAAAAATTAAATAATTTTCGAGTCAATCGAGGGAATCTCCAACGATGCTAAACAAAAAGATCTCCACCGCTGTAGTGTTTTCGAAACCTAAAAATATTATTTCTAGAATATATTATCCGCTCAATGACCTATGGTCGAAAAGGCAAATTGATAAAATGGCGGCGTTTGAAAAAATACCAACTTTACACAAGATTTTTGCCGATTTTGGTCTGCCAAAATACGACTTTCGACCAGAACTGAACAAAACTGCTAGGTCATTGTATGGAACTATATACAGAATCTGCAGAAGAAAATAGTGGTCGGATCATTTGCCCCCGAGTAATCAATCAAGCAAATTTGAAAAATGTAGTATTAAGAAAAACCGGATAAAGGTAAACTGATCTTTAGAAGCTTGTAACTCAAAAACCATTTGAGATATCGATTTAAATAAATTACAATCTGTCGAAATATGAAAAAACACAATCGACCTTTTTCATTTCACAACAGAACTATTATCAGGGAGAGAATTCTCTGCAGTGCACACCTGCTTCAAGGATGAGTGCTGGTTGGAATATTTTATTTATGCCGATCGCTCACTCTCAAAGGCTTATTAAACATCATTTAGTTAATCTATGCTGGGGCCTGAACATGTGAGGTAAAACTGAGTTGAGTTTAAATTTTTCATCAATTCCAATCAAAATGTAGGTAAACAAAAAACTGAAAGCTGCTAGCGTATGAGTAAAGTTGAGTTCAACTCTCCGAGTAATGCGATTGACCGATATGCTTTACCCGAACACACATACACACTACATACATTCAATTAAAAGCTTACGTGCAATTACATATTTATGAAGTTAACTCTTAATTCAGTCTTGACCAATTCCTTTTGATTCAATTAAGAGCAGACCCCGCATCGCAACGGCGGCTTCTTCATTTACTTACTTATTCAGCTGAGGCTGAAGAATCCTGTGGTTGCAACTTACTTGTAAAAGTTTTTGCCAAAGTTAGCATGCTTTAGGTGATTTACTTATTGCCGTTGAACAAATATTCGGAATTTTATGTGCGAGCATGTAAGCCGACGAGTACTCGTGTAAGAGTTCGAGGCAAAACTTTTTCCTGCTAAATCGCAAGTGGAAAAAACAAACATTTAACAGTTTTCAATTAACTTTTGTTGAAATTGAATTGATTGGTGGGCGGTGAGTGATGTGGTATGATGATGTATGTGTTTGTTAGTTGTTGTTGTTTCTATACAGCTTCAACTTTCTTATTTGAGTTTAAAGGGGTGTGAAATTGTTAAAGGAAGAGGTTGTTGACATTATTTGAAAACAGGAAATGTGTCAGCGTTTGAACGTTCACACAGAAGCAGGAAGCTTCGACGTCTTTACGGACGTAAAATATTTTACACTTACATATATACAAACAGTAAATTTAGGATTATATAACCGAGTGTTATTCGCAATTAACCAAAATTTATTCAATGGTAAGGTAACACGCATTAGAGTGTGTCCAAAGTGAACGAAAAGCCGGGTAAAATTTTAAGAAGGGAGGAAAGAGCAAAATATTGAGTGTAAAATATTTTTTAGGGAGTAAAAGCTTATTTTAAAAAATTATTTAAACAAACTCTGACTACATGAAGGGCCTTGGTGTAAAAATAATAATGTGACTAGCAAAATTTTCAATTCCGAATTTGGATTTAAGACCAACTTTGGATTAAAAGATAATTTGAGATATACTTTAAAATACTACTTGTAGTACTATCCTTGAAATAAATTCAAATAAAAAACTTTAAAAAATTTCCTGAAAATCTTTATCAAAAGATAGTACCAGCATACTAAGTAATCAAATTTGACCCGAACTGAGGACCCTAAATTCATCAAACAAGTCAAAGCGCTCCAAAAATTAGCCGAAACCGCTAAAACCAAAATTAGCTGAATGCACTGAAGTCCATCCCAATTTAAGCTTATAACAAGTATTTGGAAAATTAAATTAGGCCTTGCCAATTTAATCAGATGCTATATTGAACACGTAGAGATATCTATAAGAATATAAGATTTTGCTATCCCTAGAATGTCTCAAAATTTTTTTTAAAATTATATTTCAAATCAATCGATATAATTCACCATGGATTGAGTACCCAATTGTGCTATAAAGTCTTACTTCACGAAATTTAACATGCTTGTTCAGGTTTTAGACAAACGTAAAACTTTTTTATCCACGCGCAGAAACTTTGAAGGCCGCAAAAGAGCGTGAATAAGATCATAAAAAGTTGTGCGCCCAAAGCTGCGGCACAATGACGAAAAGTTTAAATGCTATGCGGCGCCTGTAAGCCTTATTAATGCCTGCAGACACATACATATGTTCCTACATACTGCTATATTCACGAGCTACTAAATGCTGTGCGGCGTTCACAAATGTGACGCACACCTATAGATGTACATGGATCACAAGATACCCAGCGGGAAAATAGGTAATAAATAAAATATGTATGTATTTGCAAGTAAGAAAAGAAAACTATATATAATGAAAATGTTTTAAGACGAGCTGCAAGACGAAAAAAAAATTACCAGAAAAATAAAATAATATTTTTTATGGCAAAATATCAAAAGTATGGCAACACTATGATAAAACTAATAACTATAACTTTAAATTTATTAAATAATTATTATTAAAAATTAAAAAAAAAATATATATATATATATTATATGTATATATGGTATATTTGAACAAAAGCCACCGAAAGGAACAACGCATCAGTGTCTGATTTCCTATTGGGTTGCTACTAGAGTACTGTTAGTATTCTTGCATTCGTCCAATTTCGAACGAAATCAAGCGCACGAAAACGAACAAATGTGTGCCCTGCAGCCCCGATTACCTCTTGCCTCGTCGACATTGAAATACTCCAAAAGTTTTCCGCCCAACTTCCGCTTCGCACTTTCTTGCGCCTCCGGCACTGGCACCGTCCCACCGTCACCCCAACACACTTATCACTTTGTCGTTGTCATATGCCGCAGCTGCTGACAGACACACACACACATACACATGTAGGCATTGTGTGCAGCGTCGGTATAATCCGCTTCCGCGCGACGATTGCTCGAAATTTTCCGGCGAGCATCGCTTCATTTATTCATATGGCCACTTAGCCGACATGCGTTTGCGCTTGCTGTGTCCATCACACCCATTGCCTCTTGCCTTGTATTTTTGCCGCTTCCGCACACATGTTTATTCATTGTTTCCCCATCAGCCGGTCGTCTCGTCTATCTGTCCGTCCATCTGACATTTATTTGTTTATATGACTGTCCATCTTCAGGCTTTATTCTGTCAGCCATCTCGGGCAGCTGTTTGTGCGCCTACCTATTTTATTTGTTTCTGCGCCCTTATCATTATTAATGCCGACGATTTGGTGCTTCGTCTGTAAAGCGTGTGAATTGTTCTACTGTTGGCTCTCATTTGACTTCGAGTGCTTCATCCCCGCTAATGGCAAATCTCCGCATCATCTTCGTGCTTGTTGTTGTTTATTTCTTTATTTGTATTTCATTTCATTTTTATTTTTGTGGAATGTGTGCGGTTGTGAGTGATGATTGCAACTTTCTTTGATTGTTATTCATTGTCGCCTCTGCATTTGTTTTAGATATCCTACTCCCGCAACGAATTTGCGATAGACAGACATAAAGATTTGTATGCTCGTGTAAATAACATTGCATCAAAAATATATTCACTCAATGTCACGTGTCCCGATTACATACTAGGTATTTAACAAGCTTTATTTTTACAACAACATCTCAGGCTTATTATAAGCAAACTAATTACTTTTCGGTTAATGGTAGGAAAATAAACATCGGAGTGCTATGATTTTTTTCCATTTGTTCT